CAGACGTGTGCTCTTCCGATCTCCCCAAAACCCCAAAACCCCGTGTATCTTTAAACTCTATAGAGATTAAAAAAATAAAAGTTTCGAAATCAATTTAATCTGAGAAAAAAATAAAAATCAAAATGAAATCAATGATCTCTATTTACAATGTCTAACAAAATGGAAATACTAATCAAAATCTTCAACTAAAATCAAACAACAGAAGCTAAAATGATATAAAGATTTAGAATAACAAGATTTAACATATTAATTTATAATAAGACTACCCATATGTCTCAGGTAACCATAATTAAGCCAAATTTTTCTTGATTAAATATTGATCAATTTAGAATTACCCAAAGTGATAAACAAGACATCTTGAAATGAAGTAGTCAATGCTACTTCAACAGACTTTTTCAGCAAGAGAAGGAACACATAATCTTTAGAGAGCTGCAAGACGAAGTCTTAATACACTAATACTATGACCAAAGCTTAAACTACTGCTAATAGATTTGGAAATAAATCTTACATCGATTACCCTAGCACATCAAATTATACAATAGACCCCTTAAGCAACATGAATAAGAGTGTCTACAATAATAATAATCATAGTAATCTTATTATAAGAAGACAGTTTGATTAAATGCCTAGCTCTCAAAGCATTCTAATTGATAGCTCTACTGAAGAAGGTATTAAGATGCTATAATCTAGAAAGCTAAAGAAATAAACTGAGATAGAGGTAATCTTTAAATAACTTTTTTACTAAAACTATAGCTAAAAGAAGCAGAAAATAGACTCAAAATACTAAAATTTCAAGAAATAAAGTTGTAGTAAAAAGATAAATTAAGAGAGAAAATGACAGATCAATATTTATAAATCAGGAAAATATCAGAGTTTGAATAAAAAACAAGGAAAGATTAAATAGATAAAGACAAATAATAGGAGGACAGGATAAAATGAGAGAAAGTAACGACATTAAAACTGAAATGGCAGATGGAGAGAGCAGAAACCCTGGATAAGTACTAGAGAAATAAGCATTAAAAGATTCAAGAGCTTAGAAGTGAAGAGTTGTTTAATTATTATCAGACAGTTGTTGAAAGCAAAAAGTCAGATTAACTTAAGACACTGGTTAACAATAGCAAAATTTCCGCTCTAATATAGATTAAAAAATAGTAATGTCTCTCACCAAGTAAGGTAATAAAAATAGTAACTATTTTAATATCTATAGATAAGTTAAGCTGCCAAAGACAATATTTAAGTTGATTTGTAGTAAAAATTAAAAGTGAAATCATACGAAGTTCATATTGATCTAATAAATGAAGAAGCTGTTCTTAATAGAAGGAAGATAGAATAAGTAAAGTTGGAGGAGGAAAAACTTCGAAGATAAATAGAGGAGAAAAAAAATCAGCATAAAAATACAATTATGAAAAAAATAGGCAAAAATAGAAAATTAAGTTTACTCCAGACTGACTAGATTTAGATTCTATTTGGTAGAAATACAACCCTTACTAACTAGATTTAATAAATTTAGACATACCAAAATTCACTCTAATAAAGCAAACTTCCCAAGTCCTTTATAAAAGAGAGCAACTAGCTATATTAATCCAATCATCGAGAGAGCAATCTGAATTAAAGAGAAAATAAAAATGATGGAATTTAAACAAATTATCAAGTTTAAGAATAAGATGAAGAAATCGAATGTTTTAACTCTGATGATGATAAAGATATAACAGAAATTTCTTAACTAAAAAATCACAACGAATAGTCAAGGGAACATAGGATTGAATAAAAAATAATTTAACAAGAATTGATGACAAACTCTGATATTGATTATCATAAACAATAATTTATCCAAGATAAAGATGACGTATAAAATTCCTAAAACTATGATAAAAATTTAGAAACTGCCTTTAATAAAGGCCAAGATTTTCTGATTATTCAGACTTCCACAGAGAGTAAGCCTAACTTTAAAATATAAAAGCATTCATCACAATTTCCAGAAGTGAAAAATGTGAAATTCAACTATAAAAATAACAGAAAGCTGGATGAAAATATTTATCTAACTGATAAAAATAACTCAGATAAGAATAATGATAAAATTTTAGAAAGTCATAACAATAATAGTATATATGAAAATGGATAAGCTTTGAAGCATAATAATACTATCAAATTAGATTATCAATATTCAGAGGACGAGTAAGAAGATGATAAAATAGAATTCAATAATGAGAATGATGTATATTAAAACGATGATAGTAACGGGCTTATGAATTCAAATTATGGTCATAAAGGAAAGAGCAAATAGGATTATACATTACGCAGTGTCATTGAGGGTGACAGCGAGGATAAATTTGATTAAAAGTCAAATGATTTAAATTAATAATAGGCAAATAATGTTATATTAGATCAGCAAGCCCAGTCCTTATCTGATAAGGATGATGCTCCTTAAATGTATGACGATGATTTTGAAAGAGAATGAAAAAACAACGAGAGAGGAGTTAAATATGATGATAAATTAGTTCCATAGAGATTATGTGAGTGTGAGTTAAAATGATAAATGCTATATTTTGAAATTAAAACCAAGCACCTTTTTATCTTTAAGTCTTTAATGAATTAGAGTTAATGAATATATGTATATAGTCTGAGTATTTCAGGGTAATACTTTGTTACGTCGTATTGTTATGATTTTCGCTCTTTAACTTGAGTGTTCTCTCATAGTTAAAAACTGCGATTTCGAGATCACTGATAGTCGCTATGATATATAGATGCTGTGGTCTTGTTCGCAAGGTTCCTCAGCAAGCTCTGCTCGAATATGAATGGCTTCATATTAAGTAGCTCAGCAAAAGTGCGGACCAATGTACCATCAAGCAGCCATATCAGAAGCTGAGTTACAATGAAGCACAATAAGAAAGTCAAGTTAAGCAAAAAGCCGATCTTCATTTTTACAATTAAAAGTATTTTATTATTATAGTCTCTTTGTCATGTGAGTACTTAAAACAAGTTACCATGGGGTTTTGGGGTTTTGGGGAGATCGGAAGAGCACACGTCTGA